TATGAACAAATGCGAAAAGATGCAGGAGCATAACAAAGAGCAAAGCGCAAGGTTCAAAGAAAACGAGAAACAAAACAGATGTCAAGATGAGCTCAATTGCAATTGTGGCAATTTGTTCTAGAACACCTGATGATCCCAATCCTAGAACCAATCCCCCATCCCCCATCCCCCATCCCCCATCCCCCATCCCATCCCCCATCCCATCCCCCATCCCCCATCCCCCATCCCCAACCCCCCCCCCCCCCCGGCAGCCCGCACGGCCTGGTCATCCTCGCCCAAGGTGACAACCACAACATCTTCATCCTGGCAACGCAACGTTCGTCCGCGCACCGCGCACGCGCCCCCTCTTCACAAACCTTTAGACCGGAAACAGGATCGAATGATCCAGGGAAGACGAGTGTCTGGCCACCCCCTCAAGCCAGAGAGGGTGCGACTCAAGCTAGAAGTGCCAAAGGGGGAAGTGTCTCAACAATTGTGAAGGACCCTCCTTTGAACTCAGCACTCGCATTTGTAGTTGGCACTCAGCATTCTGCAAAGCATTTTACTTACAATGTGTGAACCAAGCTTCTTTAAAACCACTCCAAAAGCAGATCAGACCGAAACTTGCGAACCAACCACTGGCCCTAAAGATCTGCACAGAGGGACGCAACCGGCGGCCTTCACATTGGTCATGTGATTTGGATGATGGATCATCACCTTGCCATGATGGTACCTGCGAGACAGGATGGCTCAGTAGCGCGCACATTCCACACGCCTATGCAGGGAGACGAGCGTTACAAGCCGCGCAAAATGGTTCATGCTTTGATCCACAGGGTAGAAGCGGCGACCGAATACCGCATGGGCCCCCAGAAACCGCGATGCTCAGGGTTCTTGTTCCAAGCCGCGAAACTCGGCATCGCCTGGGATTCTTTGACAGCAATCTCAAGTCGTTTTTGAGCATGCAAACAGAGCGGTTTTTTGTGACACCTGTGTTGGGGAGAATTTGAATGTTGGGGTTGATCAAAAGGTCCTTTACATGGGATGACCATTGAGGAAAACCACATAAACATGATATTTCCCACATGGGACAAGTTACCATGGTCATTGTGGGGGCAGGAATACTGATGAACTCCCGTGAATGCTGCACAGCAGGATTTTGGAGTGCCTTGAAGCGCTTGCATATGCGCACATCTGGGAACTGGTGGTTTCCCTTGAAAGAGACAGTCACCAAAGAGACCCCCAACTGAACTAGCTTCAACGCCCGGCCGATCCGACCGGATCGATCCGACCGGATCCGGATGGCTCACATGCGCAGGGGGTTGCTGGAGGTGTGCTTCGCACCGAAGTGCTTGTGGGCATGGCCCTTCAGCTCCTGAATGGTGCGCCTCAGTGAATCAATCAGAAGACCAAGTAGTGGTTGGGTGGGTGGGTGGGTGGGTGGGTGGGTGGGTGGGTGGGTGGGTGGGTGGGTGGGTGGGTGGGTGGGTGGGTGGGTGGGTGGGTGGGTGGGTGGGTGGGTGGGTGGGTGGGTGGGTGGGTGGGTGGGTGGGTGGGTGGGTGGGTGGGTGGGTGGGTGGGTGGGTGGGTGGGTGGGTGGGTGGGTGGGGTGGGTGGGTGGGTGGGTGGGTGGGTGGGTGGGTGGGTGGGTGGGTGGGTGGGTGGGTGGGTGGGTGGGTGGGTGGGTGGGTGGGTGGGTGGGTGGGTGGGTGGGTGGGTGGGTGGGTGGGTGGGTGGGTGGGTGGGTGGGTGGGGTGTGGGTGGGTGGGTGGTGGGTGGGTGGGTGGGTGGGTGGGTGGGTGGGTGGGTGGGTGGGTGGTGGGTGGGTGTGGTGGGTGGGTGGATGGTGGGGTGGGGGGGGTGGTGGGGGGTGGTGGGGGGTGGTGGTGGTGGGGTGGGTGGTGGGTGGGGGGTGGGTGGGTGGGTGGGTGGGTGGGTGGGTGGGGGGTGGGTGGGTGGTGGGTGGGTGGGTGGGTGGGTGGGTGGGTGGGTGGGTGGGTGGGTGGGTGGGTGGGTGGGTGGGTGGGTGGGTGGTGGTGGGTGGTGGTGGGGTGGGTGGGTGGGTGGGTGGGTTGGGGGGTGGGTTGGGTGGGTGGGTGGGGGTGGGTGGGTGGGTGGGTGGGGGTGGGGGGGGGGGTGCGGGTGGGTGGGTGGGGCGGGTGGTGGGGGGCGGGTTGGTGGGGCGGGGGGGCGGGCGGGCGGGCGGGCGGGCGGGCGGCGGGCGGGCGGCGGCGGCGGGCGGGGCGGGCGGGACGGGCGGAGGGGGCGGGCGGGCGGCGGCGGGCGGGCGGGCGGGCGGGCGGGCGGGCGGGTGGGTGGGTGTGTATCACCAGTTCCGTTAAGCGCAGCTAACTCAAGTGGCTGAGAACCCAAGAAGCTTTGGACCAAGGAGGGTACCGACTGACCAGAAGCCTTGCTTGCGCACCCCTTCAACACAACAGAGGGGGTGCCGTGTTGTCACGGGTAAGCCTAGTGCCTTGAACACCAAAGTGCCCGTGCCTCAAAATGTATGATGCCCCTCGATCCGAAAGCCACCCTTGGCAAAACCAAAGATTAACCAAATTGTATTCGAAATGATAGAGGGGCCAAAAGGAAACACTCCAAACGTGTCTAGCTTGCTCACATGCTTGCGTGCTTGCTTGCTTGCTGGCTGGTTCGCTCGCACCCTCGCTCGCGTTCTGGCGCGCGCTTTTGAAGGAGGTGGCTGCCTTTTGAATCGGTCCAACTGTCCAACATATTTAGGTGCATCTTTCTTGGGGGACCCCCAACATGGTAGTTGTCCGTTTGGTTTTACGTTAAAACCACCCCAAAAACGGGTACCCTGAAACAAACGACACACCCATTTCAACATCCAGACATGGATGGCAAGTCTCTTCAGAAGCGGGTGGCATCGGCATCACTTAGAAATCGAGATTAAGATCCACACAAAAAGCTCTACAAAAAGAAGCGCGGAAAAACATCCAGCAACCTCTCTAGGATGGTCTTCCTCTAAAAATAAAAAAGGAGAAAAAAGGGGGGGGAAAAGAAAAAAAAAAAAAAAAAACGAAGCAGGACTCGCCCGGATGAGGCCCGGCATTCTTGCATGCTTCCCTTCCTGCGCCAACAAAAAACATTTTCTCAGCAACCGGCGGGAGCGGCACGGTGACGCGCTGCTCCCGGTCGCCAATGTAGGTCTGTCCTGGTGCAAAATGGGGGAGATCCCGATTCGCCTAAGCCGCAATCCTTATTGGGAAACCCACAACTACAAGCGAAACCACTACAAAAAGAGGATCCTTGGAATCCTGACAAAGAAAGAAGACTGCTGTCTGCGATTTGCCCGGTTTGGGGATCGGCGATGCTGAACGCCCTATGTCAGAGTTGGCTTGTCTCAAACAAGGTAGATACCGGAATCACCGAAAATGGTTGGCTTCCTTCTGGGTTCCTAAAACTACCCCAAAAGTGGGTAACCTCAAAAAGGAGAATCACACCCAAACTTGGCGAGGGCCATGTCTGTAGCCCGCTCAGATCTTATCCGCAGCCTTCAATCTGGGAGAATTGGACGATGTTCGACAATAACCTGAAATCTGGGATACCAAAGTGGTTGATTCCCTATCACTTGCAATCTTGCTCGAGTCCCCAAACGTCTCACAGACATTGGCCAGCGGACTGTCAGACTGTGGAAGCTGATGCCTGACCAATTTGTGATGTGCTCGTGGCATTTGCGGATCCTCCTTAAAACCGATCACAAACTTCTTTCGCCAAACCAAACGAAGAACCACGAGCTCTGTGGGGCAAATGGCCCAATGCCATAACTCGTCGGTGCATCCGAAGACCCTATTTGGATGACAGGTTCAATGAAAACTGTGATCCTGTGTCTCTTGAAGAGGCCAACGTGGAGCCGCCCGGAAAGAGATGCATTTCCTTCCCCCCCCCCCTGCCCCGCCTCGGCCGGACATGGCTTCGGGGATGGGCGGAACTCCGGGTTGATTCGGAAAAAATGCCGCCGCCTTCTGATTCAGGCGTGCGGTTTGTCGGCCATGAGATGACTTGATATGCTGACTTGCGTGTGCACATCGCCCTTGATCCCAGACTCATGCAGCTCCGCCACGCATGGACATTTGCACTTGTTCCGGTGCAAATATGAGTCATAACAATCAGGTAGACAAGCCACGCTCCGGATACAACCGACTACTTCAGAACAGCGTCAATCCTGTCAAGGTTTGCCTCTTGCATCACTTCTGCTGGCTGCTGTCACAGCCAAGCAAGCCATAAGCTCATCGGAACCAAGGAGGAATCCTCGCCGCGTTCACTGCCTATGCAAACTCCCCCAAGCAACCGCTTCAAAAGTAGAAAAGCTGAGGTACACAAGAACACAATAGTGCTGGTCATTCGCCGGCAAGCACGAAGGTTGAGGTGATACACATGTTTTTGCTGAAAGCAAAGATACAGAGAAGCCATGAGAGGTTCGCCATCGAGACGAAAGACAACCTCTGCATCATGCATGTCACACTTAGGGAGCTCACCGCACATAACCTGAGGAAACCAAACGAGGACATGCCGAGATCTCATGGTTCCCTTCGCCCAGGTCGTTTGAGATCCAGAGTTCATGACCATATGAGGCCCAAGACTTAGTCCAACCGCAATATCAAGCCGTTTGGCCACTGCACACGTGCCGTCACTGTTCCGAAGTCTCTTGAACTCGGCACACACCGCTTCTTGATCCCGGCTTTGTCTTAGGGACTTACTCAATGTTCCACACGTTCTTGTCGGGATCGAAGTGGTTGCTGTATTTTGGCGTCCCTTTGAGACCATAAAAAGGCGGGCTTCCCATTTGTTTGGAAACACCCATGTGGCAGCAAACAATGACACTCAAAGCTTCCAGTGCCATAGCCAGTACACCCACATTTGCCCATGAGCTGCGAGCCGGTTTCCTGATAGAAATCATGAAAGGGGGCTTCCCCAATATGAAAACAAATTGAAAACCGATCAGGATAACTTCGTCGCCTAACCCGCACTCGCCAACTCGCCAAGCACCGGATATTTTTGGCCGCTCGCATCCGTCGTGCCAGCGAGGACCTTGGACCTGCCCAGCATTTGCATGTCGCGCATGAAACCCTTCCTGGACTAGATGTTACTCAGAACGCGAATCTCCGTAGGCTCCAAACTGCAGAACCAAAGTGCACTCCCACTTGCCCAACCGCGCCAAAAAGGCAAAGAGGAGGCCCCATGCAACTCACCTGCCTCTGTCACATGGCGCTCTCGAAAGGGGCCCTGTGAGAAGTGAACATCTGCAGTTGCATCAAAGCCGGTCCCATTGCGCTTGGAGCTTGCTCCGACTGATGTGAACATTCGCTTGCACACTTCCAACCCGCCTCTAGCGCAGAGGCGAGGCGGTGTAGTTGGCCCAGTCTCCCCAGGCGCTGCCCGTGAGGCCATCCTGCAACACCAACGTCTTCCAAACAAGCAATGCACACACGCAACAGCCTAGACATGTACAAACATGTCGCTCGAAACAACTCACATTGCACTCGCTTTCAGTTGCCTTCCCCTTTAAACGCTCTTGGAAGCAAACACAAAGAAATAACATCACAGACATCAGCCACAGCGCCTGGAAGAACATGCCGATGATGGCCATCATCGCAAGCCTGCCGTTTGCCAACTCCGCCGCGAGCTTGGTTTTCTTGGCCTCGGGGTCGGATGCGGTGAGCACCTTGAATCCGAAGTCGCCCGCCGCAGCAGGAGTTCCAGCCGACTGGTCCTGAGACACCTCGCAGAAGGCCATGTAGGCCAAGATCTGACCCCACCCAGCAGCGGGAACTTTCGAAATTGCAGCAAGTCCGTTGGGGACATCCGCAAACTTCAGGCCAGCCGAAGGAGAAAGGTACCCAGGGAATTTGTTCGTTCGTTCGTTGGTCAGGCGTTTGGTTTGGCTGCCCTACCCGCAGAGCAGGTAAATGCATCCGAGGCTCAAGGAAAACTGCAGCCCGCCTTCCATCAGCTCGACATGAACTTGGAAGGAGGTCTACTTTGAATTAGAGCAAAAGGGACGACAGCACCGCAGTCCGTAAAGCAGAAAAGAGGTGGAAATACCCAGCACTAACAAACACTCGTTTATTAGAACCGCAACAGCGACACTGCCATCAGGGTGAAACACGTTCGACACCAAATCTATTGGCGCTGGCGGCCGCGGCCGCCTTTGCCTTTCGCTGAGCCCTTTCCCTTGGAACCCTTACCTTTCCCGTCACCATTCTTCCCGTCACGGGCTCGCTTCTTCCTGAGCTCCTCTGGCGTCCGGTTGACAAATACGTTGATCGGGTTGATCGGTGGATTGGCTTCCGGATTCGCTGCCCTGGCCGCCCGGCTTGCCTCAGCGAAGGTTTTGCCCAGTGTTTGCAACCCGCTCTGCACCCGGAAGCTTCCCTCGCCGAATTCGATCCGGAACACGAAGTGCCCCGCCGCCCGCTCATACTGTCCTGTTGCTTCCACACGTGTGCTTCGTGCCTTGTTAGGCATCACAAACCTGGTTCCTGAGAGGAGAGCTGTAGACCAAGTCCACCACTCCTGCACGGCGCGGAGATCTTGCTTGCGAGTCTCATCACTCATATCCTGCCACTGGGATGGCGTGCTCGCCGGCAGCGGCCAGGGAAGTCCCGTCAACCGCGACAGCTCGCGAAGAACTCCGTTCGCTCCGTCCTGCGCCAAGGTCTTGAACTCGCGAGAGGCCTCCGCGTGTTTGTATAACTCTTCCACCTCCTCAGACCGCTCAACCACTAGTTGTGTACTTTTTTCGATCCGATCCACTCGGGAACGCAGGTAGCCGATTTCTTGCTCTTGCACCTCCAGCTTCCGCTGCATATCCTGGACGGCTTTCTTACGCTCCGAGGTCATGGCCTGATTATTTCAACCCTGGGGTGAGACCAGCTGTGAGCCGAGAACTCGATGCGAAAGATGGTTCGGTCGGTCCCACGGTTCGTGACCTGGTCCCGACCTCCCCTCCCCCGGTTGTCCGCGCCGCCGGATTCGTGACCCGACGGCACTGCCCGAAGGACGCTTAGGACGTGCCTAGCGCGACAACCGGGGGCGTGGTGTGCGTGTGCGAGTGCGTGCAACGACCGACAAGACCACATCATGCGTGAAACATGCCCTCCTTTCTTTGTCAAAGCTGACATCGCGCTTCATGATTTTTTCTCGCCTGCACTGACCCCAATATGGCATTGCAACGCGGGTTAGCGCACGTCCTGTTGGCGGCGCCCGGCCCTCTACAACCGGCTTCATGGCGCTCCAGATTCGCCGCACAGATCGGGGCGTGACATAGCCTGCATGGTCGGGCGGGCTGCGCTTTCGGAGCCCGCTTTGGCCTTGGTCGAACTGGACAAATGTGTTGGCGCCTGTCTATCTCTCTGCGCCATACCTGATTGCACTCACTGCATGTGTATGTTGCAACTGTGATAACCTCCGGATTGGACACGGCGTGTTGCGCAGCATAGTGTGCTACCAGCGTGTTGGCCTTTGGAAAGGGTTGCCCGCATACCGGGCAGTGAAACTGGCCCGTGTCTGCTCGCTTTTCTAGGTGTCTGCTACGGTGGCGTTTCTGTCGGGCAAAGCGCCCCGCGTAGTCGGGGAACTGGTTCGTGCTCGGCGACCACCGGTTGAGCAGGATCTCCTGGCGATGATCTATCTTGGGGAGAGGAAACTCCGTAAGTATCGCCTGTCGCCACTCGTCTCGATTCTGCGCTACTCTGTACCAGTCCAACTCCGACTGCTGAATCTGCGCCAGTAAGTAGCGTAGCCACTGCGCCTGTCCCCGTGGTGCGTTTGGTCTGGCTGTGCGCCCTTGCCAGAAGCCGAAAAGGGCTTGCTTGGGCAATCTGCGAATGTTCATTCTCGCCACATGTCCCAACCATATCAGGCTCTGCCTGGCAATGGTCGTCTCGAAGGGCTCCCACTGCACCAGCTCGTTGAGCATTGCGTTGTTGACGTGATTGTCCCGTTTCCAGCGGTGACGTACCAACAGACAACGTTGGACCGCCCAGTTGATGATCCTTTGCATCTGCTTGACCTGGTTCTGATTCCACGCCCGTGATCGGCCGAAACATGTGAGCGTCGGCATGATGACCGCCTTCATGATCTTGACCCGGATGCTATGCGGCATCTGAGCTCGCCCGCGCTGATGTCCAAAATGCCACGCCTTGGCCGTTTTTGCTATTTTCAAGTATGCCTGGGCCTTCTTTGCCTTGGTATCGGCTGGCTGTGTCTTGCAGCATTCCTCCCACATGCCTCACTGTTTCCATCTCGCCTTTGTGTCGCACGTCAAAAGGTGCCCGTGGCGTCGACGCAATCCGCAATCCTTCGGTCTTGCCCGGGTGTACTTTCTCTCTCCAGTCCCTCATGGTGGTCTCGAGCAGAACCTCGGCGCGAGCCATCTCCTCTGCCTCACCTATGAGACATGTGTCGTCAGCAAAGCCTATGTCGCCCAACACTACTTCCTTGCTTTTCCGAAATAGGTGTTCTCGACTGTGCACGCCATGATGCACCCTCCCGTCTGCTTTAACTATCCATGGTAGGCCCGGATGTTGATTGGCCTGGTCTGCTGACTGCGCTCGTCTGATTCTGAAGTCTTCCAACACCGCCTGATGATACGCGTTAAACAGGGGCGGCGAGGATGGGCAGCCCTCGCGCAGCCCTTTGTCCGCCTCGTATTCCTGCGACTCCCCGCCATGGATGCGAACCTGGTAGCGGGTCGCTTCGTGAAGGGCCTTGCACACTTTGATGAAGTTGTCTGGCGCTCCTTTGATGCTGAGTACCTTCCAAAGGGAGTCCTTGCTGACTCTCGGATACGCCTTCTCGATATCGAAGAGCCGGATCAAAATGACGTCATCCGATGGTTTCGTAGTGGCGGCTTCTTCCGTGATTCTCCGGGTCACCTGTAGTACGTCATCCACTCCTCGTCCCTTGCGAAAGCCGGCCTGTTCCTCTGACAACCATCCGTCGCTCCACAGCTGCGTCCGTTGCGCCACCACTCTGGCCAGCAGATTGCTACCAACGCTAAGGAGACAGATGCCTCTCCACGTGTTCTTGTTGCTCCGATCACCTTTTTTCTTCCATAGGGGCACCACAATGCCACGGTTCCAGACTTCCGGCCATCCGGCCCCCTCCTCGCCATCCAGGGCGCTACACGCCTCGGCCCACGCTGCTCGTACTAGGCCGTGTACCTGGCGCCGCAATGCCGGGCTGCCCAACTTGTAGAATTCCGCCACGAACCCGTCGGCTCCTGCAGCCTTGGCGTTCTTCATCCGCTGTCCGCAGGCCTCGATTTCCTCATCTGTGGGCGGCTCCCCCATCCATCGGTACGGCGCCGCCGCCTCGGGCTTCACGTTCGCCCACACGTGGTCCACTGCCCACTCTCTGCCCTCTTGCAGTTGCCGAAAGTGTTCTTTCCAAGCCTCGCGCTCGGCTTCCGGCTGCGCTACCGTTGCCTGGGCGACCTGTGTGCGGAGTCGTTCGTCTCGAAGGCCTAGTTCGCGATGAACGGCATAGACCCTTCTGGTATCGCCTTGGCCAGCCGCTGTGGTGAGTTCATCCGTAAGTCCGTCGATCCATTCCCATTTCCATCTTCGTCGCGTTAGCTTCCTGCGCTTCGAAGCTTCCCTGCTGTCGCGCAGCGCCTGTGCGTAGTCTTGCTGTCGTTGGGGATCCCTGAGCTCGTCATCTCTTCGAAACTGTCGCAGCCTGGCCATTGCGTCTGCAACGTCCCTATCCAGTTGTCGGTTCTCCTCCGTGTGACCGACTAGATGCGGCCTTTTCCTGGTAGGAGGGACAGGCCCCAAGATTTCCATGCTGGTCTGTAGGCAGATCTCCACCAGCTTCTCCCAAGCCAACTGTCGTCGGTCTCCTTCCTCGCGTATTATCGCTGCGTCCAAGGTCTCGTGCCACTTACGCTTGGCTTCGCGAGCCTCGCGACCCGGTTTCGCTAAGATCTGTACATTGGGTTTGTTGACTGATTGCGGCGCTTCCCTGCGTGGTTGCCACCGGTGCCAGTAGTGCCATGTGAGCTCTATGGGAAGGTGGTCCGTGTAGTCATCCCAGTGGTCCTCACCCCCTCCATTTCCTACTCTGCGCGGTCGCCGAAGCGGCTCTCCTGCGTTACCTCGCCTACCCTGGTGTACCGTGCGCGCGCTGTCTACGTACTTGACTTGGCTACCTGGCATAAGGAAATGATCCAGCACATGACCCGTCCCGTTGCTCGGGTGCCACCAGGTGTACTTTTTGGCTAGTGGTTGCTGAAAGCGACTGTCGATGATTACCAGCCCTTCCTGTTGGCACCATTCCAGTAGCTCTGGTCCTGTTCTGCTGGTTGACCCGCTGCCGAACTGTCCCATCACCGTCGGGTAGTGTTGAGCTTGGTTTGCACCGATCTCCGCGTTGAAGTCCCCTCCAACTATCAGCCAGTCCCCTCCTGGCGTACGGGCTTTCACCTCAGTCACCTGCCGCAAAAACTCCTGTCGGTCCGTTCGTCGCGCCGATGAAATAGGTGCGTAGCACACTATCAGCATGAGGCCCTTCCTGCGGCCCTGCCTGGGGAAGTGCAGTCCCAAGACCCGGCCCTGACCAGGTCGGCTCTTAAAGCTGCGTGCCCCGCCGGCTTCCCATCTCTGGCCCATGGCCTCGCCCATGGCTATGGCCACCTTGCCCTCCACGACCAGTTTCCACTTGTGGCCATCTACCCACAAGTCGTGTGTTCCGTCACGGTGGAATGTCACGTCGGTGAGCAGTACTGCGTCCCACTTGCGTGCGTTCACTACCTGAAACAACGCTGCTGTTTTGGTGAAAGGATCGTACGGAGTGTTGGTTGCGCCCCATCGACGTACGTTCCATGCGCCTACTTTCCAGGTGTGTCTCTTCCGTGGTCCGATCCCTCGTCCGTTGGATCGCTGTCGTCGGTATCTTAAGAAGATTGCCAGCTTGCGGTTCCTTCTTCGACGCGCCAGTAGTTTCCTCTTCCTGCCTGTCATGGTCCCGGTTGTCGGCGTCTACCGTTGAGCCAAATACGCATGCGGACCGTGCGTGATTGATATGGCTGATGGAGTCACAGGGGCGTGCCTGCGATGTTGCAGGATGTACCCGGAACAAACAGGCCCTATGTGCGCTTGTTCTCCCGACAGCCCGCCCTTACAGCTGTCCGGAACGACGAGCCCTGTGCATCAGGGCGGCAACACAACAGCCCTAGGGGCCGGTGTTCCCAACACCCTTCAGCACCGATCTTGAGCGCCAGATACGCACTCGACGAAATGAAAAAACCCAGCGTGGGTCGCCGTGGTCGGTGGATCCTCGTTGCCCCAAAGTCAGCAAGGCCGTCTCGAAAGCTCAATCGACGCGGCAACGCTCCGCCGATCTTAGCGGAGTATGAGGTTGGTTGAGGCTTGGCTAAATCCGTCGGCCTGGGTGTGGCATGTGCGCGTGTCTAAAGGGTCATCGCGTGACCAGAACCCGACCCATGTCATGTCACATGCCGTGATAAAAAAAAGAAAAAGAAGAAGGACCCAGCAACAACAACAACAACAACAACAACAACAACAACTGCCATAAGTCTGAGCCCCATCCAGTGCTCGGCCACGTGGAGGCCTACCACCACGAGCACCTACCCAGGGAATTTGCCGGTGATCTCAGGGGTGATGTAGCCCATGGTTGCCTTGCTCAATGTTCAATCACAAACATACTTGCCAGAATAAACATGCTCAAAGTTCAAATGTTCATATCTTCGGGATCCTACTATTTCGCAAAGATGTAAGGTCTTACCAAACGTTGACCAAGCATCGAGCATGGAGATTCGGCCGTGCTTCAACTCCGTCTGGCGTCTGCGCGCAAAGTTCTCGGTGCTGCCATCCGCCGTAAAACCGGCGGGATCCCAGAATCCCACAGGAGCCTGCCACAAAACTCTTGCACTGTGAAAGATTGAAGTTTGTGCATGTATCAATACACTTCTTTGACTGTCCGCAAAATGTGATTGAATTAAGGTGAAAGTCATGCCACCTTGGTGTCTGTGTATCAACCCATGCTGCGATACAATGGGATACCTGCATGCCACCAAC